TAGTGATGTCTGGATTGAGATGATTGGTGACAGAATGTAAGTTGTGTGCGTCATGACTCTGCTCAGGGATCCTTTGGGTATGTTCTGAGGTGGGAGTCTAGGTTGCATCCAGGGCCTGGTCAGCCTTACCTGACTGGTCACTGCTGCCTGATGCTGTGCTCTTTTACAGGTGGAACCCTTGCCTTTGTCAGCCCGAGCTTGGCAATGCACAAGACCTCTTCGGCTGTAGACCGTCAGCGAGAATACCTCCTGGACATGATCCCTCCACGCTCCATTCCCCAGTCAGCCACATGGAAATAATGGGAGCCGGCCCAGCTGAGGACAGGCCCTTTGCTCTCCACGGCTCCTGGTCTAGGACACACAGACCGCCCTCCTAACAAGTTGCCTGAGACAGCTCAGGCCTTGGCTATTTAGCCTTGTGGTGGCCAGAAGAGTGTGTCACCATGGTGCCCAGGATCAGAACCAAGGACTTTCCCTGTGGGTCTTCCCTTCCTTTTTGCCTTTAGTTTGCCCGACACCAGCAGAAACTCGGACCTTGGGGCCAGCTCTGCCTGGCCAGCATGGGTGGGAGCTCACCCTGGACACTGTGACACGGCCAGGCCAGGCTGGCGCCAGGGGCTCCCAAAGTTGAACTGGGGTTTGTTTTCTTTCAGCTTTTCCCATCTTCACTCCCCAGTCTCTGCCTCCTCATGGCCATCTATAGGTTGAAGTTTGGGTTTTTGTGTTTTCTTTTTTAATCACTTCACGATGATGGAATGAAAAGTAAACTGTGTAGACCCAGGGTCCCTGTTGTGACAGTGTAGTCCCTAGCCCCAGAGGGTGCTCTGAGTGGCAGCACACAGGGATGGTGGGTGCCACTGTGGCTCCAGTTGTGTCTGTTGCTGCTTGCTGCAGCCCCTGGCTTCCACACTTAGAACAAATCGCAGCCCAGACTTTGCCAGAGACTCTAAGGTTCCAGAGGGATGCTGGGCCCACCGCTGGAACCAGAGCTGGCTGCTGGGTTATTTTTGTGCTTTATTTTATTAAAATTTCTTTCCTTTCTCTCTTCGTTTTGATGGGCACAATCTCAAGGTGCCCAAGAGGCACCCAGGTAGGCGCAGACAGACCTGTCTACCCTGGGGTCAGCCGGGTGGGTTCACCTCTGGCTCCTCAGTCCACAGGGATGTCTTGGAAAGGCCAGGTCTACTTTAGTTTTATTTTCTTTCCTCTCCTGCCCCCCACTCTTTAAAAATTGGTTCCACGGTGGAAGGGCAGAAGCAGCTCACAATAGGGCGGCCTGCAGCGGTCTGCAGGGATCCCGAGCAGCCCTGGCTTCCTTCAACACAATAGTTAGGGACTTTAATTTAAACCCTTGTTCTGCAGATCGCCACCCTCTGCAGACACGCCCCTGCCTCCTCCTAATAAAGGCTCATTTAACCCCATGCTCACTCGTGTGCAAATCCTTTGTCGCTAAGAATTGTTTGGATATAAGGGAGTTCCAGGTTTAGGGAATTTTTTTTGTTGTGTGAAACCCAAGTTACTCAAGTACTTTTAGATTTGAGTGTGTCACTTCCCAGGGTGGATTTGGGAGAGTGAACAGACATTGACCCTTTGTGGCAGGGCGGGTGTTTACACTATATATATGCAAGCATTTCTTACTTGGGTATTTATGTACCTGGCAAGTCAGTTCCTGCTACCTATTCTTACTGAGTGACTGGCCTTAGCTCAGTGACATGGGCCAAGGTCTGGCTCCTTAGAACAGCCATACTAGGTGGCCTCTCTTATAGAAGCCTTCCCAGCCATTAGTCCTCAGTTCCATGTAGTCATTGAACCTGGCACCAGACATAGACTTCCACTTGAACTGATGGGGTCTGACCAGGGGGCTCTGTTGGCACCTCCCTTCCAGCCTTCCATGTCGTGTGACATTCGCCTGTCACCTTATTGGGGATATGCTACAGCAGAGGCCAAAGGGTTGCTGGTGCATCATTTTCCCAGGGTGACACTGGTGACACTGTGTGGAAGGGCCAAGTGTTGAGGTGCCTTAATTTATTGGAAAATGTTGCCCATTCCCTTTCTACTGCACTGGCCTCATAGTGACATTACAGCTAAGGACTGGGACGGGGGGGGGGGGCACCAGGTATTTAGTAGGTTGCTGTGCCAGCTATGAAGCTCCTCCCCTCCCAAAGCTGGTTCCACCCCTATCCTAATGAGCTGGGTCCTGGGCTCCTTGCAGATCTGCTATCCTCTGCCTCCTGAGGTGTGGGATTAATAGCTTACACCTCATGCCTGAGTTTAAAAACTTAAGAAAAAAAGTTAAATGTATTTGTCATGGCACTTTCATGCCTATACTTGGGAGTAGAAGATGGAGGTGATGATCCCTACTTACTCCATTGATTGCCCAGAGACAATCACAAACTTATCGATGGCTCTGGTCAGTGGGGCAGTGTACCTCAGTTTCTTCCACTCGTTGTCTGGGACAGGTTTGAAGGGGCCAAGTACAAGTCCATTGAACCAACCCCAGGCTCTTGTCTAGCTTGTGGAACCATCAGGAACCAAGTGTCACCTGGGTTGGGGAGGACAGTGGTCATTTATGGTATAAGAGGCCATGCGCACTTAAGTGGGCAGGTAACTTAAGGCTACTGGCTGAAGGAGTTCCTATGAGCATCCTTGGGACCTGAAACCCCACACACACATTAGGGAGGCCAAAACAAAGCTTGTCCCAGGCAGAGGGAGGAAGGGGACAGGTACTAGCTGTGACATGCCAATTGTCACCTGGATGGAACGGTTAACCTGAACTTCCACCCCCCCCATACACACACACACACACACACACAGCCAAAGCTTGCCCCTGTGAGAGAGGAAGGGGACAGTGCTGGCTGTAATGTGCCACATTTAGCTGGAAGCAGAGAATCAGAGTAAGTTATCAGCCTGAATGGTGTTTGGGGAAGGTTGTTCCTCACCTTTTCAAACGGTGACAGCCTGAAGACTGAGCTGTTGCCAAAAGTGGTTCCTAATATTCAGTGTGTAACAGTTACACTAGTGCAGAGTCTGGGGGCCGGGACAGCTGACGCTTGTATTTATTGTGACTGAATCTTTGATAATACATGTTTTTAAAAGTTTGCCACCAAACAAATAGATGTTCCAATAAATGACCTGGAATTGGTAGCCTCCTTGTGTTGGGGAGTTCTGAGACCCTGAAGAACAATGAAGAAATGGACCGAATGTCATTGTATTGTTCCTTTATTTCCTGGGGCCCTAGCGTTTTGTCCCAGCTTCTGGTGGCCTTTCTTAAAGGGGGGAATGAAAGGTAGGGTACACATGCCATTTGAATATGGCATTCCTCTACCCTGAAGAGCTCTCTGTCATCCTGTTTGACCTCAGCAGGCAGGGGATTCGGTGAGAATCCCAATTAAGCTCTTCCCACCTGAGGCCACAGGTCTAATTTTTTTCCCCCCAGAGCTTTGTGGGGTTTTGCTGTTCCCAGCATGGATAGAGCTGTAAGCTTGTCCCACTGCCAGTCTCCACATCAGCTTGAAATGCCCAATTTCACATTTTGACTTTGTTTTGAGGCAGAATCTGCCCAGGCTGCCGGTGAACTGATTCTCCTGCTTCCACCTCTCATGTGCAGGGATGATTGGCATCCAGCACCATTGGAAATATTTTAAACAAAAAAGTTGGGCTGGAGAGATGGCTCAGTGGTTAAGAGCACTGGCTGCTCTTGTAGACAATCCCAGTTTAATCCCTAGCGCCCACATAGGAGCTCACAACCATCTGTAACTCTAGTCTCAGGGATCTGATGCCTTCTGGCCTCCACAGGCTCTGTACACACATAGTGCACAGACATGCATGCCAACAAAATACTCATATACGCTAAAATGAAAGAAAAAAACAGGCTCGGTGGTGCTTACCTTTAATCTCAGTACTTGGTAGGCAGAGGCAGACAGATCTCTGAGGTAAGCCTGGTCTACATAATGAGACCATCTTGGGGAGAGAAAAGAAAAAAGAGAACCTGGGCTTTTGGGTGCATACCTGTAATTCTCACTGCCCAAGAGGCAGAGGCAGGAGCATTGCTCCAAGTTCTATTTGGGTTACATAATGAGTGGCCCAGGTAGGCCATGCCCATGTGGCTAAACCGTGTCTCAAAAAACAAAACAAGCCGGGCGGTGGTGGTGCACGCCTTTAATCCCAGCACTCGGGAGGCAGAGGCAGGCGGATCTCTGCGAGTTCAGTGCCAGCCTGACACCAAAGCTATGGAGAAACCCTGTCTCGAAAAACAAAACAAATCTGAGGGTGTGGTTTAGTGGTACAACCCATGCATAGAATCCCTTAGTGGGGCTGGGGGCTTGCTCTGAGAGTGATCGCCTGCCTAGTCTCAGTAGGTTCTGAGTTCCATCCCCAGCAAAAGAGGGGCTTCACTTGTGTGAAGATAAGAATCCATTCTGAATATGCTGGAATCTGGAAGTGCTATAAACTCCGTCTAAGAAATCTGAACCACACCCTTCCCCAAGCCCTGGGATGGTTTGCTGCCCAATGTTTCAGGTGCTGAGGACAAATATAACCACAGAACCCCCCTTTTCACCAGAGGGTGTGGGTTGTTTCTGCCTAGGCTCTGGCATATTCCAGACAGAACTGGAGTTAGGCTCCTCCCCTCTTGTAGCCTCAGTTGCCCCATCTGTGCCCAGCATGAGAAGTGAGCTCACACTTGACCTTCAGGGCACTAGAAACCTGTGGAGAGGGGAGCAGGTGCTCGGCACAGCAAGGCCTACAACAGACAGCCCTTCAGACTGCCTGGGCCTACTACAGGAGCAGGAGAGGATTGAAAATGTTTTCCATTGTCACCAAACCCCTGTAAAATCACAGGCAAGGCTCCCAGCTGCCTCACCCTTCAGGGTCCCCTTTGAAGTACTGTTAGCTCCCCTCCATTTTCTCATTCCCTTTCTATTTCAGCCCCGGGAACTCCTGCGGTATCACTTTGTCCTTTGTGGGTTGGTTTTGTGTGTGTGTGTGTGTGTGTGTGTGTGTGTGTGTGTGTTTGAAATAGGGTTTCTCTGTGTAGCCCTGGCTGTCCTGAAACTCACTTTGTAAACTAGGTGAGCCTCAAACTCACAGAGATCCACCTGCCTCTGCGTCCCCAGTGCTGGGATTAAAAGGCATGTACCACACTCCCAGCATCCTGTGCCATTTTTAGTGGTTTGGGCAACAGCCTCAAAACAGCTAAACAGTCTCTCCCTGAATACCCCGCCCCACCTGGCATTCCTCACAATTTACAATTATTTCCACATCTTGTCTTATTTTACTTGGCATTGTACTTGAATCCTTGTTGAAGGCAAAGATGGTTCAAGTCTCTTGGAGTCTCAGTTAAGGTTCAAGACATGCAGAACTTGGCTCCACACCTGTCATCCCGAACTTGAGAAGCGTAGGCAGGAGAGTCCAAGTTCCATGCCAGCCTGGCTGCATAGTGAGATGTCTGGAGTAAGCAAGCCGTGGTCTAGCGTGACACGCACACAAACCACCATCACCACCAACAGCAAAGAAAACAGCACCAGTAGCTGGGTCTGCTCTCTGCCTGCAAACTCTTCCATCACCCTAGGCTTCAAGAGACCTGACTACAAATAATAGCTGTGTCTGCACAGTTGACACCTGTGTGGGCCTCAGTTTCCACATCTGTAAATGCTCATTTTCTGCCGACAGGTAGTCCCCTCCTTCCCCCATGCCAATCCCAATTCAAGCATCATCACATCCCAGGGAACGATTACAGAACCTCTAGAAGTTTTTCCAGTTTGGAGTGCAGATTCGAATCCCACAACTCCCTTTTGAGGTTTGGCGCTGGAGTTGCCACATACATGGCTTTCTCTAAAGTGCTGAGATCTCCCCTCCCGTCTGCTCCGTAACAAGGGTCCACCGCTAAAGCCACTTGCGAGGAAAAGCGAATTTATTGCAGGTTCCAACCTGGCACTTGGAGTGCACCGTGGGCCCGCAGCTTCTCCGCTCCACTGCCACCCACCGGGCAGCAGAAGCTCATTCCGCGCAGGCGCAATGCTTCTCTCTCTTCTCTTCGCGCCCCTCTCGGGGCCTCCTCGCCAGAAATCGAGGGTGCGCATGAGCCCTCCAGCAATCGGGTTGTGCAGGAGGAACCAGAATCCAACAGCGGGCCTCTGTGGGCCGCCGCCGTGGTGGGAGGGGAAGGGACAGGGCGCGCGCGCAGTGGCGCGCGGCGACTTCGCGGGTTTCCCGAAGCTCGCCGGTTGCGCGTGCGCCGCCCTGGCTCAGGGCCTGGTGCGGCGGGAACAGCGAGAACCCCGGCTCCTAGCCGGAGTCCCCGGCCCGCAGCCAGCCATTGCGCGCCACCTGACCCGCCGAGGGGCGGGCGGATGGGCTGAACTGTAGCAGCTCGGCGATCAAGGATTTGCATCGTTCCGACAGTTCGAGGCCGTCGGGGTAGAGCACGCCGCGCTTCTGGCGCCGGGGCAGGCCAGCAATGTCCGAGTCATCGAAGGGCATGCACCCGGTGACCATGACGTAGAGCACAACGCCCAGGCTCCATACGTCGTATTTCTTGGGGTCGTAGGGGATGCCCAGGAGCACCTCAGGTGACGCATAAGCGGCCGAGCCGCAGTAGGTGGTGCTCAGGTCTGGATAGCCGTGTGCCTGGCGGCCGAAACCGAAATCTGTGAGCTTGACGCGGCGCTCGTCAGGGCTCAGCAGCACGTTTTCGCACTTGAGGTCGCGGTGCACCAGGTGGTGGTCGTGCAGGTAGCGCACGGCACCCGCGATCTGAGAGAAGAGTTCGCGCGCCTGTGACCCCGGGATGCGCCCGTTTCGCTGCACTGCCTGCAGCAAGTCGGTGGCTGCTGCTTCCATCACGATGTACAGCTTCCCGTTGCACACCTCGATGAACTCGAAGACGTGCACGATGTGCGGGTGCCGTACTCCCCGCAAGATGGACAGCTCTCGAGGCAGGAACTTGTTGACGAAGTCCGGAGGCGCTCGCCGACGGTCCACCACCTTGATGGCCACCGTCCCTTTATATTTCTTGGAGGTGGCTACCTTCACCTTGGAGTAGCTGCCCTCACCTATTGTGCGGCCCAGCTTATAGCCAAGTTCGCTCAGGAGCTTGTCGCCCGACATGGTGGCGCCCGGGGCGCGCGGGGAGCAGGAGGCGGCTGCTGTCGGGGGGGCGGCCGGACTCCGATCTCGGGCCTAACCCATGGTGCTTGGCACCTGCACCCCCGTGCCCCCATGTGCCCACTCCCAAGGTCCTAGAGCCGCGATGACTTTTATTGCCGGGTAACAATTTCTGCCTTGTGAAGTGACTGCGGGCGTCACTCAGCCTTGGGGTGGGGACGTCCCCGCCCTGCGCTCCCTAAACCCTCTCAGGCTTTGTGACTCAATCGCTCTGAATGACCGGTTCCTCATGAGAGGGCCCTGGCGAGGAGCAGATCACTACTGTGGAACTAGTGTGGATAGTGGTACCCAGTCCGTTGCCTTGGCCCCTGGAGGTGGGGGGTGTGCAAAGCTCGAGGCTGGCCACCATCGCTCAGGAAGGAAAGCAGGTGAACACCAAGGCTTATATTACAAGGTACGGGATGCCCAGCAGAGCTCCAGTGCCAACCACTGAATCAGGTCCCGTCCTGGGGTCAGAGCAAGGAAGGACTTAAGGACCGAAGCAGAGTTAGCTGACGGGTGGGGAACCACCCAGGCGACCAGACTTCCGCCACACTCAAAATGGCAACCACACGTCACCTCACTTCCGCTGGTAACCGGAAGTTGGAGGTCTTGCAAGTATGGCGGCGTCGAAGGTGAAGCAGGACATGCCTCCACCAGGGGGCTACGGTCCCGTCGACTACAAGCGGAACCTCCCTCGCCGGGGACTGTCGGGTCAGTGTCGTCCGGTTCGAGGTCGGAGGCCGGGCCTCGGTCATGCGGCTGGGCGGGAGCGGGCAGCCCGCAGGCCTCCGTTTACGTAGTGAGGGAGGCGCGGTTGGGGTCTGGGTTCTCTATCGCAGCATCCCGTGGGGCGAGACTGTTCATTTGCCCAATTTTCCAGTCGGCTTCCACAGTTTCGGATATTAAACCTCCGAGAAACTCAGACTCGAAATTTGGAGACTTTGTTTCGTTTTAGGTTGGCCTCTAACTTCTGATGTCTTTGCCTTCACTTCCCGAGGGTGCTTGATAGGTGCGCACCATTATGCGCAGTCTTCTTTTACCTCTTTGCTTCCTTCCTTCTTTCTTTCCTTCCTTCCTTCTTTTTTTTTCCTTTTTCTTTTTTATTTTTTGCAGTTAGAGATTTACTATATAGCCCAAGCTGGCCTCAAAATCGAATTCTGGGATGACAGGCAGGTCCACCCAGGGCAAGAGTTTCTAAGTGTGTTGATTATACCCTAGCGCAGAGCCCAGGCCAGTCTGGAACTCCCGTCTGTCTACCTCTGCTCCGTAGTGCCAGGATGACAGGCATGTGCCCACCATATTGAGCTGCATCCTAACACTTTGAAGTGTGTAAAGTAACATTTAGAATTTTTTTATTGATTTCAAAAGGAAAAGAATTTGGAGAACATTAAGGTCCCCACCCTCAGTGCTCAGAGTTACAAGAATAGAATAGTTAGGGGTCCAGTTGGTATAGTGCCTGCCTTGGTTTCAAAGTCCCGGGTCCCACCCTTAGCACTGCATAAACAGTACTGAGTGGTAGACATCCATCATCCCAGCACTTGGGAGGCTGAGGCACAAGGATTGGGAGTTTAGGGTCATCCTGGGCTACATAGACCAACCTTGGCTACATGATGTCGTCTCCCTCTAAAAGAAAGAAAATAATGAACTTAGGGACTGGAGAGATGGCTCAGTGGTTAGGAGCACTTGCTGCTCTTCCAGAGGACTGAGTTTGGTAACTCCCTCCCTCTACAGATTTAGATTTTAATTCAGCAGACTTTTACTGTGCATATTATGCAAACTATGCCTCAACTAAAAAGCAAAACCTTCAGGCCTTATGTGTTGGTTCACCTGTGATCCCAGCACTGAGAAGCAAAGATGGGATCATGACAAGTTCAAGGCTAGCCTAGGCTATGTGGAGAGTTAGGTCAGTCAGGACTATATTTCAAAAAAATTCCCAAAACAAGCTGGGGTGTGGTGATACACACCCTTAATTCTATCACTTGGGAGGCAGAGGCAGGGAGGTCTCTGAATTCAGCACCAGTCTGGGCTACAAAGTGAGTTCCAGGACAGCATACACATCTGGTGCCCGTACAAGCCAGAGAAGGGCATCAGATGCCCTGGAACTGAAGTCACAGCCGGTTGTGAGCTGCCGTGTAAGTGCTGCAGACTGAAGGGCAGCAAGTGCTCTGTGCTTGTTTTTCCAGAGGGTTTCTCTGTGTGGGCCTTGGCTCTCTGGAACTCACAGATCCGCCTGCCCCTGTCTCCCCAGAGTGCTGGGATTAAAGGTGTGTACACCCAGCTCTGTTTTCTAATGTTTATTATTGGGAGTTTGGGAATGTGGAGGTCTGAGGATGACTTTGTTAAGTCAGTTTTCTTCTATCTCTATGTGGGTTCTAGGAATTAAACTCAGATCACCAGGTTTCTGTAGCAGGCATGTTTACCAGCTGAGCCATTTGGCAGCTCCTCTTTTTCATCTCTTTCTAGGGTAGAACTCACCCAAGCCCATGACCCTCTCAGACCTGCACCATATTCCTACGTAGCATGTGCCCACAGGACACCTGAGACTAAGCTGCTGGACTCCTCAAGTCAACATCGTTTATTTATTTTTAGTTTTTATGTATTCCTGCATTTGTTTAGAGACAAAGCAGTTGTAGCCCTTGAAATTCTCTGTAGCTTAGGATGACTGGACTGGTCCTGCTCCCACCTCCTGAGTGCTGGGGTGGCAGGTGTGTGCCGCTGCGCCATCTGCCAGCCCTTCCTTCTGCTTTAAAGTCACCATGTGCTTTCCCCTCGCCTTCAGATCCTGACACAGCTGTGCTGGGCCTTATTGCCCTCTACCTTTCTTGTTCTGTCTTGTTGTTCTGAAACACTCATTTGTTTGTTTGTTTGTTTCCAAGACTTATTTATTTAGAGACAGGTCCTGGTTGGCCTGAAGCTATGTAGATCAGGATGGCTTCAAACTGAATCTGTCAGACTCTGTCTCCCAAGTGCTGGGATTGAAGGAGTGCACCACCATGCCTAAGATCATAACTGTGTGTGCGCGCGCGCATGCAGGTGCTCGTGGAGGCCAGAAGGTGGCGTCAGATCTCCTGGGGCTGGAGTTCTAAGCACCCAGCATGGGGTTTAACAGACCTCTGGTTCTCTGGAGAGCAACAAACACTGTTAGCCCCAGTCATGGGTCCAGCCATGACAAGTTTTTGTTTTTTTGTTTTGTAGCCCAGGCCGGTTTTCCTACCTCAGTCTCATCCTCCCGAGTGCTGGGATGGCACACTGAAGCCCTGTCCCTGCTCTGTGCAGACCTGCTCCCCGACTGGCTGCAGACGGGCGAGGACAGTGCAGTGACAGTCCAGTCTTTGTTCATATCTGCACGTCCAGTGTCCTAAACTAGCTGGTGGGACATGCATGTCAGATTGCTTCCGGTCCCCTGCTCTCTGTATGCAGACCTCAAGCTGGCATCTTCCAGGCTGGTTTCTCCAGCTGGACCTGGCATCGCCAGCACACCTTACACCATGCTCAGCCCTGGAATCATTGTTGCTGTTATTTTTGGGTTTTGAAACAGCTTCGGGGTGTAGTCCAGGCTGGCCTTGAGCTCAGAGATTCCCCTGCTTCTGCTACCTGAATGCTGGGATTAAAGGCGTGGCACCAGGCAGCTTATGTGATTTTTATTATTGGTGACTTGACTCTATTTTTTGTGCTGTGTCATTATCAGATACTCAACTCTGCAGATATTTTTCTTCCCTGAGGCCTGTTGAGCTAACAGTGTCATTTAGAGCACAGTTTCTCTTAAGGAGCCCTGCTGTGTTCTACTGGAGGCTATTTCTATAGTTACTGTTTCCGTGGGGCACCATGCTGTAGTGAGGGAAGCTGCAAACAGTGGTCCTTTCACCCTCCTCCTGAGTGTGGCAGTGTAGGAAAGCACCAGGCTCTTCTTTCTCTGCGTAGCCCTGGCTGTCCCAGAACTCACTCTGTAGACCAGGCTGGCCTCGACCTCAGAGATCCACCTTCCTCTGGCTTCCAAGTTTAGGTTAGTGCGCCACTGCCCAGCTCTTTTCTTTTTCTTTCTTATTTTTCCCCAGGATCTGATAATGTTAGCCTGGCTAGCCTAGAACTCTATGTAGACAAGGTTGAGGTATCAAGATCTGCCTGCCTCAAGGCTTTTGACACCACTTCTAGCCTCTTTTTTTTTTCTTTTCTTTTCTTTTCTTTTCTTTTCTTTTCTTTTCTTTTTTTTTTTTTTTTTTTTTTTTGAGATGGGTTCTCATGTAGCTTCAGCTGGCCCCAAACTCCCTACGTAGCTAAGGATGACTTTGAACTCTTGATTTCCTATCTCCACTTTCTTTTTTTTTTTTAATATTTATTATGTATACAATATTCTGTGTGTATGCCTGCACCACACACATGTAAGAGGGCACCAGACCTCTTTACAGATGGCTGTGAGCCACCATGTGGTTGCTGGGAATTGAACTCAGGACCATTGCAAGAGCAGGCAATGCTTTAACCTCTGAGCCATCTCTCCAGCCCCTACCTCCACTTTCTAAGTGGTGAGGTCACAGGCATGTGTCACCATTCCTGATTTATACTGTTAGGGGTGGAACCCAGAAGTTCAGCCTGGGACATCTTCAGCTCTTGCCTTCAGGCCTCCCTCTCCAGGTGAGCAGGGCCACTGTGCACCCGTGTGCTGCCAATGCGCCCGTGCTGAGCAGACTCCTCTCCCCTGTTAAACTACTGGGGCATGTTTGTCCGAAGCCATACAATGTGGGGGTTTATTTGTGGAACAGGGCGTCTGGTTCTGTCCTGCTGCAAACGTGACTGTCCTTGTGCAGCCTGTCTGTGTGCACACAGCTGCCTGCTGAGTTGGGAGTTGTCACTTTTGAATCCAGGCCATTACTGCCCTGGGCACTTCTGCATAAACTTCATGACCTGACTGTGGGTTTCTGCAAAGGGGGAAGGGTCGAGGTTCTGATAGCCATTGTGTTGGATCTGCACTGTTTGGGGGAGCACTGCCAGCGCCCTCAAGTTCATTGATTCAGGATGAATGACACAAGGTGGCAGCACCTCCTACAACTACAGCTACTTGGGGGATTGAAGTGGAGGGTGTGAGTTTTGCACCTACTCCCCTCTCCCCATGGCACCTTCTGAAATGTAGCCACCCCAGTGATTACTGTAGCCAGCCAGGTGCAGCTGAAGGCTGGGGGTCAGCTTGCGGCCCCTCCTCCCTGGCCTCTCACTCTAGACACAGTGGGGCCACACTTGGGTGTCCGCACTTGAGGCCCAGGGCTCCCCACAAAGACCTGTTTGTTCGTCTGAAAAATTGCAGGGAGAAGCTGTGGTCAGATTTGGAGGCCCCTGAGGTTCTCTTAGCTGTTGCAAATGAGGGTACAGCTCTGATGTAGACACCTCCCCAGTTTGGTGAGGGCTGACGATGCCTGCAATCAGCTGGCCAGAGATGGTCCTGAACACCTAGGGCTTCCACAGAGAGCTTGTACCCCTGGACCTGGGACCCCACCATCCTGGAGACCATGGCTGGAGGGCCTGGCCTCAGAGTCTTAGTCTGAACTGAGTGGGTGGGAAATATTTAGCTCCTGACCTAGCTGAGGGTCCGTTCAGGCTGCAGCCCCAGAACCTGTTCTACCCCGCTGTGTCTCAACCTTCTCCATGCCCTCTGTAGTCATTGGTGATGATCCCTGGAGCTTGTCCTGCCAGTCAGGATTGGAGCTGCCCCTGCTGATCTTCAGTCATTATTTATGAATAGGGCAGGTGACCTGTCCTGCTGAAACGGTGGTGTCCACACTTCCAGCCTATGTTGGTGGTGTCAGAGCCCTTTAAAGGCAGCTTCTATTTTGTTGTTTTTGTTATCGTTTGTTGTGTTTTTCCCCAAGACAGGGTTTCTCTGTGTAACAGCCCTGGCTGTCTTGGAACTCTGTAGACCAGGCTGGCCTCAAACTCACAGGGATCAGTCTGCCTGTGTCTCGAGTGCTGGGATTAAAGGTGTGCACCACTACACCTGGATCAGTGGTTCTCAACCTTCCTAATGCTATGACCCTTTAATATAATTCCTCACCTGTGGTGATGGCGCCAGCCTTTAATCCCAGCATTTGGAGGCAGAAACAGGCAGATCTCTGTGAGTTCAAGGCCAGCCTGGTCTACAAAGCAAGTTCTAGGACAGCCAAGGCTACAAAGAGAAACCCTATCTCAAAAAACAAAAATAACAAAAAATATAGTTTCTCACATGACCCCAGCCTATAAAATTATCTTCATTGTTACTTCATAACTAATTTTGCTATGGTTATGAAGCATAATGTAAATATCTGATACACAGGATGTCTGCGACCCCTGTGAAAGGGTTGTTTAAACTCCGAAGGGCTCATGACCCATGTGTTAAGAAACACTGTTCCAGACCCTGGGGCTCTCCTGTGTCCCTGTGGCCTGTACCTTCCAGAAAGGGTGGCAGCTCGGACTGCCTAGTACCCTGACCCAGAGCCCAGGAATTAGAGACTGTCATGGGGAAGTGGCTGAGGAAGGACAGGCACCTGTGGAGGAGGGGAGAACCAGCAGGTACTTCACAGAGAGCCAGTGTTGCTGAGTTGGGGGGGGGGTCCTGGAAGGACCATGCCGAGCAGGAATCCTCCTTCTCTTGCAGGCTACAGCATGTTCGCGGTGGGCATCGGGGCCTTGCTCTTCGGCTACTGGAGAATGATGAGGTGGAACCGGGAGCGCAGGTAGGGCCCTGCTCACCACCAGGGCTTCCGTGAGGGTGGTGGTGGTGTCCTTGGCTGGCTGCTTGTCCGGGGCCTGACCTAAAGTGAAGAGCTGGTGACCAGCCTTCATCTGTTCCCTCCCTGACCAGGTCGCATAAACAGTAGGTCACCAGGCCAGCTATGACTGGGGTTTGAGACATAGACAAAGACCAGCCAGAGCCACACAGTGAGAGCACAACAGAAAAGGAACCTGGCCATGGGAGGCAAGTCCCCTGGAGGCCAGAGAGACTAGGATTGTGAATGATGAGGGGTGTCGCTGGGCAGAGCCCCGCCAGAGACCTCTTCCTGGGCCACATCACTGGGCTGCTTCCCCAGCCTCTGAAGCTGAGGCTCCTGACTTTCTGCGGGTAATAGTTGTGGGGAAACCTGCAGGCCCAGCATCCTGCTATTTTGAGAACAAAGGGAAATTGGTTTGTAAGGCCAGAGCCTGATGATGAGTGTGCCCCCCTCTTCACCCAGATCATCAGACGGGGCTATTTTTAGGATAAAAAAAAGTTTATTTGAAAGGAAAGTGTGAAGCCAACACTTTTGTGGCTGCTGTAGTCTGCCAGCTGCAGGCTTGTCTTCCTGTCCCAACTTAGGTGGCTAGCCTTGCCCCGTCCCCACCCGGCCCCCGGCCCCACCAGCTCCCTGCGTGTTCCACACTCCCTCAGTGAGCCCATTTAACCCAGAGTGGGTGTGGTGGTTTTACAGGCGCCTGCAGATTGAGGACTTGGAGGCCCGGATTGCTCTCATGCCGCTCTTCCAGGCAGAAACGGATCGGAGGTAGGCAGGTTGGGAGGGGCTCTGGGTCAAGGAAGGAACAGAGTGGTTGCTCTGGGTGGATCTGATTTCAGCCCTGCCTTATGGCCACAGGACCCTGCAGCTTCTTCGGGAGAACCTGGAAGAGGAGGCCATCATCATGAAAGACGTGCCTGACTGGAAGGTACGCTCTGGGTTGGGGTAGGGTGGGGTGGGGTAGCATGGTGTGGCCAGCTGGGACTGATAAGGACTGACCCTGACCCTGACCCTGTCCACAGGTGGGTGAGTCTATGTTCCACACCACGCGCTGGGTGCCGCCCCTCCCCAGCGAGTTGTATGGGTTGCGCCCCAAGGAAGAGTTGGACAACGCCAACTACGGCTTCACCTGGTACACGTAGGGTCCGAGCCGACGCCCACAATAAAGAATAGTCAAGTAAACGCCATCATGTGACTCTCTTGCGGATCCCTCTACACCTGTCTGCTACCCGGACTCCTCAGGGTTAAGTTATCCCTGTGCTTTGGCCAATAGCTGCATGCCACTCAAGCAGGCATTCAGCCACAGGGCTCCGCCCATGGGGCTTGCTTAAAAGGCAGCGGGGAGCCAGCTTGCCTGTGTGACCATGAACAGCAGTGCCTGCAGTGACAAAGGCCCAGGAGAGGCGCCAGAGGAGAGGTGCTTTCTCAGGTTAGCAGGTGACAGGGAGCTGAGGCCTGGGTAGAGGCAGGGGAATGACTGGGGTGGGTCCTAGGGTCTGCTGGGAGCTTGTGGGTACAGCAGTAGCCGAGTTGCCAGGGAAACCGCATTCCAGGCAAGCCGACCCTCAGTTCCCCTCACTGTTTGTGCAATTATCCCGAGGGACTTGGAGTTACACAGAGGCTTTGAATATCAGCTGCCACTGGAAGCCAAGAAAGCTCGGGGTGGGATTATGGGTTATGACGCTGGTTCATTTCAGGGCACAGAAACAGTGTGTGCAGGCCACAAGGTGAGCAACGGCGATGGGTACGGGTATTGGGGAGAGCACCTCCGGTGTGGGCCTGAAAAGAGACCCTAGCCTTGCTGTCCTTGTCTTAGGAGCAGGATTGATGGGGTGGGGGGAGACCTCCCTCCTAACAGTCTCCAAATAGCAGAAGGGCTTCCCTGCTGGTCCTGTGAGCTCTTGTCCACTCTGTTCTCCAGAGTTAGCTGCTGCCCCTTGGTCGGGTTATTCCCCGGACTGCCCGCTGTCGGGAGGAGACCATCACCACCACCCCTGCAGAGGCAGCCATGGCTGTCAGACAAAGGTGGGGCTAAGTCTCTGCACAGCAATGTGTGCTTGCCAGTGGAGACAGAGGTCTACATCAGGTGTCTTCCTTTATTTTTCTCCACCTGATTTTTTTGAGACAGAGTCTCTCACTGAACCTAAACTTGACTGATTTCATACTGGCTGGCCAGTCAGTGAGTTCCCACATCCTCCTGTCTTGGCCAGTACTTTGCCAGTGCTTGGGTTACAGGCACACCTACTGCACCCAGCTGGGTTTTTTTTCCCCCATGGGTTCTGAGAATTAATCTAAGGTCATCATGCTTGCAAGGCAAGCAGTTTACCAACTTAAGGCATCTCTTGATTGTGCTGTGTGTGTGTGTGTGTGTGTGTGTGTGTGTGTGTGTTGGTGCCTGTGGGGGTGACAGGCATTGGATCCCTTGGTGCTGGAGTTCCAGGTGGCTGTGAACTGCTTGGTGTGGGTTCTGGGAGCTGAACTCAGTCCCTGCAAGAGCAGTACACTGATCCATCTTTCAGCCCCACAAACTTGTTTTTTGAGATAGAATTTCACCAAGTAGACCAGCTGGCTCAGGACTTGTGATGGTCCTGCCTCACCCTCCAGGTGCTGGGATTCAAGCATGTGCCACCATGTCTGTGCACACTGAGTGCACACTGATTGTGCACACTGATTGTGTTGTCCCAGAAGCTGGGCAAGCAGCCCAGGGCCCCCTTCATCTAACTGCAGCACCACACTCGCCTTCCTAGGGTTTCTACCCTGCACCTGTGCTCCTATGTCTTCCTCACAGTGCTTTGTTTGCAGGGAGGTGGTAGATGGTTGTTCTCTCTGTAGTCCAGGCTGTCCTGGAACTCAGAGATCCGCCTGCCTCTGCCTCTGAATGCTGGGATTAAAGGCGTGTGGCACTGAGCGCTGTCTGTCCTGCTTGTTCCAGTGCTCTAACTTCTTGCTTTTACCTCCCTTGGAGCTCCTCCCTTCCTCCAGGATGCCCTACTGTGGTCATCTCTTGGCATCTGAGGCCCACTGAGCCTGCCCTTAGGGGCCTCTATGAACAGGCAATTCATAGAGGTTATAAATGCAGAAGCCCCTCTCCACCTGTGTCTCGCCTGTCCTTCCTTTAAAAAATTTTAATTACATGCCCGTGTAGCGTGAGCATGTGGAGCAGGGAAGACAGTTTGTGGGTGCTGGCCATTAGGGACAGCTGGAAAGACTGATGGCACCAAGCGGGACCTGTGCTACCCCAGCCCTGGTTCTCTAGAACAGTCTCTCTTGCCAGCTCACCTGGCCCACCTGCAAGGAGAGGCCCCCAGCCTCTGCTCTGCTTCCCATGATCAGACATGCTTAGCACTGCCATAGCTTTCTAAAAATTCTTTTTTTCCTAGTGCTGGGTGTAGAATGTGGGACCTCACACACAGACTTGTGAATTATGTAATCTATTCTTGCCTTCAGTTTGTTAGAGGTAGAGGTAGCTCTTAGCCAGGTTGGTCCAGATAATCTTTTCTTTCTTTTTTAAGATAGGGTCTCGTGTTCATCATTGATGGCACGCACCTTTGATAGGGTCTCACTACATAGCCCTGATTGGCCCGGAGCGAAGGCTGCTCTTAAACTCACACAAATCTGCCAGCCTCTGCCTCCCGGATGCTAGAATTAAAGGCATGGGCTACAAAACCAGTTTCAGATATCTTAATTTTATTGTCCTGTAAGATGGGTCTTCAAGGGTCTCATAGTTGAGGGTCCCATTTCCATTTTCCCCCCTGGAGTCCTAGAACTTCCTCATCGGTCCTTGCATCAGAATCAACTCACCTCCCGGTCAAATTTTTTAAGGTTCTTTTTTAAGTTTTTTTTAAGGTTTGGGGGTGGGTGAGGGAAGAGAATGAGGAGTCCGATGACACCCTGGGATATGTGGCTTGGGGGGATCAGTCTGTATTCAGAATCTTTTCTCCTGATCTCTGGGTTGCTCAGCTTTCTTTGGGGTTTAAAAAAAAAAAAAAAAATGCTGAGCCACATGTGCATCTTTCACCACCAGAGGGCGCTCGTGCCTCAGGCTGCGGCTGCCATTTCAAACCAAGCTTGTGGGATGGGGAAACAGGGCAAGAAATGATGGCTCCTGAAACTCCTCGTGGGTAAGGACGAGACCAGAGCCTTCCGCCGGATCTGGGCAGCCATCCTCGAGTCTCCGTTCCCTTTCTGCGCCTCTGAGCGTGTTGTCCGACTCTGTCCGCAGCATCTCGGAGGCGGCCGCCCTGGAGCGGGAGCTGCTGGACGAGTACCGCTTTGGGCGGCAGCAGCTGGTGGAACTATGCGGGCACGGCAGTGCGGTGGCTGTGGCCAAGGTACTAGCCCCCTTTGCTCGGGGCTACTTCAACCCATCGCTTCGTTTTCAGGCTCACTGCCAGACAAGGCAGAAGTGGGGTCCTCAGACTCAGATGGGGGAACACCTACAGGGTGGGGCTTGGGTCCTCGAATTGCAAGCCTGGGTCCCCTAGAAGTGCAACCCATAAGAGCTTACCTACCATCTGAACACCCTTAAATGTCCCCACGAGGAAGCAGGTCCGGATGGGCAGGGTAGTCAAATGAGGTCTGAAGCAGTACTCAGGTGCCCCCAATATGACAGGAGAGTGTGGATGACGCCAGAGGAGCTGGCTTTGAGGCCCACTGAGCCTGCCCTTAGGGGCCTCTATGAACAGGCAATTCATAGAGGTTATAAATGCAGAAGTCCCTCTCCGCCTGTGTCTCGCCTCTCCTTACTTAAAAAAAAATTACATTTATTGCCCCTCCCCCGTGTGAGCGTGAGCATGTGGAGCGTGGAAGACAGTTTGTGGGCACTAATGTTCTTCCACCATGTGGGTCTCAAGAAAACTCCTTTACCTGCTGAGCCACCTCACTGACCCTCTTCGGTAGCCCAGACTGTCCTCGTGGTGGCTTGCAACTGCCAGTCCAGCAGCTCCTGAGGCAGGAGGATTGCTGCAAGTCCAAGACCAGCCTGAGCGAGAACCTCTCAAACAATAACAACAGCAACAAAACATGTAGACAGACTGAGTTTCTGAAATAGAAGGTAAACAGGAAATAGTAAAGGCAGGAGCGGGGCAGACAGATGATCTAGGCGGCACGTTTGTCCGATTGCGGACCTTCCTCCGGGTTAACCCCACTTTTCAGTGTAACTTGGGGGTATCTGCGCCAGGAAAGTGGGGATTGTGTCCAAAGTGCATGGAGTAAACAAACCACACTGGGCCTGTACGCAGACCACCACTCTGTCCCTCTGCTACGCCCCAGGCGTTCCCTTTGCCCTCGCTGTCGCGCAAGCAGAGGACGGTACTGGTCGTGTGCGGCCCGGAGCAGAACGGCGCTGTGGGGCTAGCGTGTGCCCGGCACCTGCGGGTGTTCGTGAGTAGCAGGGTCCTATGGCGGGGAACAGAGCTGGGTTGGGGTTCCGCTGGGGACAAGAACTGGGGTGGTCTCCCTCCTGCTACCGCCATCACCAGACCCGGGTTCCCCCAGGACTACCAGCCCAGCATCTTCTGCCCGGCGCGTTCGGCCGACGCTCTGCACTGCGACCTGACCACGCAGTGCGAGAAGATGGACATTCCCTTCCTGTCCTTTCTGCCCGCCGAGGTCAGCTGAGCCTACCCTGACCCCGCCCTGACCCGTCCCCAATCCGGCCCCTCACACCGCCCACCCCCTCCCCCCAGGTGCGGCTCATCGATGACGCCTACGGGCTGGTGGTGGACGCAGTGCTGGGCCCCGGAGTGAGGCCGGCGGAGGCGGGCGGGCCCTGCGCGCGCGCGCTGGCCACTCTGAAGCGGCTCTCCATCCCGCTCGTGAGCCTGGACGTCCCCTCAGGCATGCCACCCAGGAGCAGTCTCATCACCCCAGTCTGTTTTCTCCATCCACCTTTTCCAGCCGCAGTGTCTCCCTTTTACACCCCCCAGCCCCAGCCTTGGTTTTCCTCATTCAACCTCAATTTCTGCGTCTGCCCTCATCCTGTTTCACACCCTTCCTAAGGATGGGGAAGTTACAAGTGGCTGCCCCAAGTGACCCGGTGTCCTCTTGGTCCAGGTACCCAGCTAAACGGGCACCACTCACCGTTGGCCCTGCTGCAGAGCAGATGTGAGCTCATTCCTCAGAGGCCACGCCTGCCAGGGACAAACAGCTTTCAGTCCTCTTTGGGGCTGCGTGGTAGTGTCCCCAGTTTGAGGGTCCCAGGACCAGTCCAGATCAAGACCAAGGCATAGCTAGTCTGGGAAGGGGGGGGGATAGGCTGCAGGTGGACCCGAAAAAAGAGGGACCCTGCAGTTGGAAGCCTCTTGTTAGAGAGAGGAGCAGGTGGCTTATTTATTATGGTTAATGCCTGAGGCAGGAAGGAAGTCCGAGGTGCTTGTCCTCGGACAGGGTTGACAAAGACTCCTGGATGGTTTGGGATGGGCCAGAGGGCCAGGGAGCCGTGAGACCCAGTGGGGAGGTAAGGGCACACACAGTTCTGAGGGAGGGTCTCGGGTCACAGGTACAGGGTGGGAAACCTGGTTGGGTTGGGGGTGAGGAAGGTCTGGTCTGAGTAAGGCGGCTTCTGTCTGCTGGGGCACAGATCAGAAGACAGGGACGGTGGAAAGGGAGTAAGCGGTTCTGCGGTCAGCAGGTCTGACCACTACCCACGTGTCGGAGGTTGAGGCACGGAACCTGGAGGGAGACAGGGCAGACCCGGTCCGGAAGCCTCGGTCCTCCCAGCTCCCCCTCTCCCGCCCTCAGGTTGGGACACCGAGGCTGGCGGCGACGCGAAGGATGAGGTGCAGCCCGACGTGCTAGTGTCCTTCGCTGCACCCAAGAGCTGCGCGAGTCGCTTCTCTGGGCGCCACCACTTTGTGGTCGGCAGGTTCGTGCCTGACGACGTGCGCCGCAAGTTTGGCCTGCTCCTGCCAAAATATACTGGCACCGACTGCGTGGCCACGCTGTGACCCGCACCAATAAACATCTCCACCATCTCTCCCTCCGCCTCCTTTGTGCGCCAGACCAAGGGGGTGGACGAGTGGAGAAGGAACTTCCCTCGCGGTTTGAGGAGAGGAATAGGAGGGTAGCTGTCGGGAGTCTCCTAGAGTTAAGACCGAAGTTAAACACGATAGATAATTTCCAGCCGCCGAAGTGTCCAGCAGTTTCAAGTTTAAGACCGAATGGCGCCTCCCACGCGACACGGGATCTAGTTGGAGAAGGCGGAGGAGGAACGTGGGACGCAGTCTGAGGGCGAGGCACCGCCGGAGGCCTAGAGAAAGGGCAACCTAGAGTGGTTTATAGGGGCGTGGCTTGCGGCCGCGTCCCGCCCCCATCAGTCCCTAGCAAGCGCCCGACCCGCCCCAGTCGGATCCGAGAGCTTTGCAGAGCAGCTGTGACCTGGCGATGGCACCACCGCTGCCCTTGCTCTGTCTCTGCATCGCAGCCGCGCACCTAGTGGGAGCGCGAGGTGAGATGCCCTGGGGCCGGGAGGCTGGTCACTGTGCGCGCATCAAAGGGGGCGGGTGGGGCACCTCACGAGCTTCACAAAGGGCAGAGCGACCGAAAGAGACCTCTTCTTTCCATCCTCTCTGGGGATAGAGCACCAGGCCAGGAGTTGACCATGGATCGGAGCTGTCCCTGCGCGTAGCTGGTGACAGGCCCATTTCTCAGAAGACTGAGGCTCCAGGAAGAAGGGGTTCGCCTGAACCTGTCACCCCTCCTAATCCATCTTGGAAAGTTGGAGGCCAGAGAAGCCAAAGACTTCTCTGTTAACACCTTGAACCCCATCTAGAAAGACCGGGGAAGAGTAGAGCAAAAGGAACTTCTAGGAAGAGAACGCAGCGGTCTGCGGGCAGAGGCACCGCCGAATGCACACGACTAAACTTGTGTTTGATGAACACTTGAGTCTGAAGGACAGGGCTTCAGGGTCCACTGCTAGTAATGGGACTAGCAGCCGAAGGCATAGCGCTGCAGACCCCTGAGCTAGAGCTGTTTCCTATCCCGTGAAATGCAGTGGTCATGGTCCTCCTGTTGCACCAGAGGGGGGTCCCAGCGGTCCCCCACCTTGCACTCTTACAGATGCTAACCCCACCAAGGAGCGCACTGCAGCGACCAGGGATCTTGTAGGATGGCCGCCAGACCCCGGCCAGCCCTCGCCAGCCCTGGAGGACTGGGAGGGTAAGTCGTCTCTGCGACCGAGTTGTGTGACCTGTGCATGGTGGAGATATGGGGGAGGGTGGGGAGAGTAGTCCTTGGACATCGCAGCTTCTGGAAACCCTGACCCCAGGGCCCCAAGCTGGAGGGACTGACGGGAGGTGGGGACCCGGGCTCAACACACGGTGCCCGCAGAGGCCAGCGAGTGGACGTCGTGGTTCAACGTAGACCACCCCGGAGGAGACGGCGACTTCGAGAGCCTGGCCGCCATCCGCTTCTACTACGGTCCCGCGCGCGTGTGCCCGCGGCCGCTGGCGCTGGAGGCGCGCACCACAGACTGGGCGCTACCGGCCTCCATGGGCGAGCGCGTGCACGCCAACCCGGCACGCGGTTTCTGGTGTCTCAATCGGGAGCAGCCCCGAGGCCGCCGCTGCTCCAACTACCACGTGCGCTTCCGCTGCCCAGTGGGTAAGGTAGTCCTGGGCGGGCGGGGACTACGAAAGTGTGACCCTGAGGAGCAAGATCCGGTGAGAGCTGGGCCTGCGTTTCCACCGAGGTGGGGTCGTGTGGGCGTGGCCTCGATGAGACACACCTACACCCTGCGGGCATTGGTTTGAGGGGGCGAGTATCGACGTTCCAGGACCCCAACAATCCATCCTGAATAGCTCAGTACTGGGGGATGGCTTGAGCCCCCCGTCATATTCAAGACTGATGGGGAGCAGCAGGGCTAACCAGGAGTGCACCTGGCAGGGAGCCGGGGTGTGTTCTGCCGGACTCTGTGACCCTGCAGTCAGGGTGCGTGTAAGCCAGGGAACCGGACCCGCTTAGTCCAGAGAGCCCGCTGTACGGGGCTGACAGCTCCTTATCTTCCTCCTTGCTCCGCAGAGGCCGCGTGGGGCGCATGGGGCGCGTGGGGTCTCTGCTCCAAGAGCTGCGGGCCAGGCCGTCGCCTGCGCCGCCGCAGCTGTCAAAGCTCTTCTGGGGATACGTGTCCTGGGAGCCCCCAGGAGGCGCAGAAGTGCGTGAGATCCAGGTGTCCAGGTAGGAGGGGACGGGCCCTGAAGAGGGACGGTCAGGGGTGGGGCCCGCATAAAGTGGAGCCTAGAGGGCAGGATTAGTTGAAGAGGCAGGGCCAGAAGAGGCCAGGCCAGTAAAGGGAGGAACTTGGGACCTAGGTCGGGGTCTAGAAGGGTCCAATATTGGCAACCCCTTCCCTCCTTTGCCCGATGGACCGTGACTGCGCACAACCGAATGCTAGGCACAAGGGAAAGGGACTGCGCAAAAGGTCGGTAGATGCCAGGCAGGCATGGCCAGACCCGAGGGGCTATTCCCTCTAGTGCACACACAAAGGTAGCCCTGTGTGCAGACGCAAGCCAGTTGCATACTCTGAGTGAAGCATGTAGCATTCAGCCTCCGCCTGCCTTGCTCGCCCACGCAGACACGTGCTCACACCTTGGCAGACACAATGCCCAGGCCCTTCCAGGGCCAGCCAGGAGGGGACTGGAAATTCCACAAACATGGTCTGTAACCGCTGCAGCAGAGCCCTCATAGGGTGGGGACCCCACCCCATCTCCGGCACCTCTCCCTTCAAGTTTCCACTGTAATTTTCCATTTTGTAAAGAAGTGGCAGCATCAGCAGCAAGACAGATGTTGTCCAAGACAGCCCCTGGCTCCTAGCCCTGCCTAGGTGTTCCTGTGGACGAGTTCTCGCCATCTTTTGTGAATCAACTTCTTGGGTCCCCTCCTCAGAGTTTCTTTCCTGCGTCTCTGGATCCAGCTTCCTCCAACTAGTCCAGCCACACTGACCCCTGAGGGGACTTGATGGGGGGGTGGGGTATGTTTGTTGAATGACTGAGTGCAAAACTCTCCCCAAGAGTTCTCTCTGCCTCCCCCCACCCCGTGTTCCCCTAGGGTGTAGCTCTGACAGCTGTGAGTGCTCTGACCACATCCTCTTGGGCTCAGTGGTCACCCCATCTGGGCGACCACTGCCAGGAGCCAGGGTCTTCCTTCGAGCCCGACCTGGCACTGTAGCCACCAGTGACACCCATGGAACCTTCCGGGTTCCTGGAGTCTGCGCTGGCAGTCAGGTCAATGTCAGCGCCCAGATGGATGGCTTCTCAGCTGGTACAGCCCAGGCCCATGCCAACAGCTCCAACTCAGCCGTGGCCACCATCGTCCTTAAGGAGTTAGGTGAGTGTCCTTCCAGCCAAGAACGTAGGGGTGACAGGGGAGGATGTTTCAGGCCAAGGGAAAAAACCAAGATGTGACTCACTTGTTGACAGCACAGGGTGAGGCAGGCTGTCCCCGAGAGAACGGGAGGAAAAGGGGGTCGCTGGGGGTACAGCAGGGTCATGAACTTAGCCAACTCCTATTTCCTCAGGAAAGCCATACCTGGTAAAGCACCCCGAGTCCCGAGTGAGAGAGGCAGGTCAGCACGTGATCTTCTGCTGCAAGGCTTCGGGGACCCCCATGCCTAAGAAATATTCCTGGTGAGTGTCTTCATGAACTGAGGGAACTAGTGAGCTTTGGGGTGGCAGGAGTTCCTGTAACCCTGTGGTACCTCTAAAAACCTAAGGTGTTGTTTGTGATGAACACGTTATCCAGGCGCCGAGGCAGGAGGACTGTTGTGAGCTTCAAGTAGTGTGGGCTACACAGTGGTTGCACCATGTCTCAGAAAAAAGAAAAAAACAAAACAGGTCTGGCAGGGCACACCAGGGGCTCAAGGATCTGCAGTTCAAAATCAGCCTAGGGTCGACAAAACATAAACCTCCTCCTAGTGACAGAGGTGGTCGGGCCACCATTCCTAAGATTCCCCACGATGTGATCCAACTGCCTCCTTCAGGTTCCACAACGGGACCCTGCTGGACCGGCGCCAGCACGGGTCTGGGCCGCACCTGGATCTCCAGGGGCTTCGCGAGGACCAGGCAGGGGACTACCACTGCAAGGCCTGGAACGAGGCTGGTGCCGTGCGCTCCCGCACCGCCCAGCTCACAGTGCTCGGTGAGCAGCCCGGTCCCGCCCCATCCGAGCCCAGCCCACGCCCCCTCACCTCAGTTACCCTCCTTTGACTCGGGTGTGTGGACTCCCCAGCTCCCGGCCAGCCGGCCTGCGACCCCCGACCTCAGGAACATTTGATCAAGCTTCCCGACGACTGCGGCCAGCCGGGCGGCGGCCCCGCATACCTAGACGTGGGCCTGTGCACGGACACGCGCTGCCCGGGCCCCGAGGGCTCCGGCCCTCGCTGTGGGGACGCGGGCGCTCGCTGCTGCTCGGTGCTGCGCCTGGAGAGCAGGGACATCCGCTGCTCCGGCTACGTGCTCCCGGTGAAGGTGGTGGCCGAGTGTGGCTGTCGCAAGTGCCTGCCCCGACGGGGGCTGGTGAGGGGCCGCGTGGTGGCTGCGGACTCGGGGGAGCCCCTGCGCTTCGCCAGCATCCTGCTGGGCCGTGCGCCCATCGGCTTCACCTCCTACCAGGGCGACTTCACCATCGAGGTGCCGCCGGCCACGGAGCGCCTCGTGGTGACCTTCGTGGACCCGAATGGCGAGTTCGTGGACAGCGTTCGCGTGCTGCCCTTCGACCCCCGCGGCGCCGGCGTGTACCACGAAGTCCGTGCGCTGCGCAAGGCGGCCACAGTGCTGCTGGACGCGGAGCGCGGCGGTGCAATCCCGCTGGGCGGCGCGGAAGAGGCGGCGGCTCCTGCGCTAGGTGAGCTGGTTTTGCCGCCCGGTACTTTCCGCCACCCCGACGGCCGTC